TACTTTAATCCCTCCTGGCACATCTTCTATGATGTATTGATTGAAGGAGGTCAAGAATAGATAATAAGAGACTGGCTAGTGTGGTGGCAGGGTAAACGGAGAGATGTGGATTCAAGATATGTGGGCAGTAAAATTGATAGGACTTGGTGACAGATTAGACTAGAGAGATTGAGGAGAGGAAATGGGAGGTAGAATGTCAAGCCAAGGTGTCTGGTTTACAGAATTGGATGACTGGGATTTGGGTCACTGACTAGGAGAGGGAATACTGAAAGAGGACTGGAGTTATGGGAGGGAGCAGAAGGAATAGGGTTACTGACCACAGTATCACATTTAGAGAGATGTTTTAAAGACTTTGAACTCATTTAATAGAGGTTTTTCAGTATTTTATTATGGCACACAGAATAGATTATGATACAGCATTCTTATTTCAACCAAGTAGTTCTCAAGCCAACCAGCTACTTCCATTTAGCTTAAGTTATTTTTCACATATAGTTTGCATCTGAGATTTACCATGTGCATCATCCCATGTCTAATAAGCATAAATGCAAAAAANAAAGATTAGCCTACTGTTAGAAGGTGGACAAAACCAGTGCCATTTTGTGCCCCACCCATCATGTTGGCTCCTGCTTAACCTCATTCCTTTGTTTCACTGGCCAGTTGTACATCAACCTTAGGTCAAATGTAAAGGGAACATAGCTTTCAGGGAGTGAATGACTTATTACAGTGGGTAATGTCAGTGGTCTCAGCACTAACATCATAAGACCCCTTGCCTCATGGATCACAAGACACTTGGTGAATGATGTTATCAACTTATTTTTTCTTAAGATATTTCCTTGAGGTTATTTTTAGTAAAAGGACTTTTGCTATATAAGCATTGTCTAACCCTTGATTTGCTGTAGATATCTGATTCTTTGCTGCATGCAGCCTTCCTGTATGTAAGTCACCCCAATTAATAAATATCTCTGGTTACCAAATGGACCTGCCCACTTCCTTGCTCAGTCTCAAAGTACCTTCTCAATTTGGAGAGCATTATACTTTAATCCCTCCTGGCACATCTTCTATGATGTATTGATTGAAGGAGGTCAAGAATAGACAATAGGAGACTGGCTAGGGTGGTGGCAGGGTAAACGGAAAGATGTGGATTCAAGATATGTGGGCAGTAAAATTGATAGGACTTGGTGAGAGATTAGACTAGAGAGATTGAGGAGAGGAAATGGGAGGTAGAATGTCAAGCCAGCCGGCTCCCGCTCACTGGCTGAGCGAGGCGTGGGAGCAACACCGAGGTTTGCAATCCCGT